AGATGACTAAAATTAATTGGTTTAATATTAATTAATACAACATAATACAAAAAAACTTACTTCATGAACTTCTTCCTATCGAGAGATTTCTGTGTTGCAGCTGAAAGAGCCACTCGTGGACTTTTCATTTTATCCTTTAAAACACAAAAGTAATGTAAAACTATTGGCAGCAATATTATAATATAATACAGGATGACCTCAAATTGCCTGGAAAAGTTTCTCTTTATTAACATTTTTACCTTTAATTTAGTATGCTAACTGAAGCAGTCTGATTCTAAGAATTAAATAATTAAAATTATTTTTCCCAATGAAATAATGTAAATTTTGCTTGTTTTCCTTTTGCCAACAACACTAAGATCATTCATTCAAACCACAAGCCACCAACACTCTGATATATTTCAAATTAATTTCAAGCCTATTTTCTAACTGATTTCAAAAGAGGGAAAATCCACACAATGGTTTCAAGGAAATTCAATCAGGAGCAACTGATAGTTTTTTATAAGCCATACAAGCAAAACATTCAAAGCTTCAACTCCAAAATCCAATCACAAAACAATATGTAATTCTTTCATTATGTAATTCTTTTAAATCTGTCTAGATTTAAATGTTGCTAATAATCTCAGGAATTACCTGTGCTTAAGAATTGTCGGAAGGGTGCTGAAGTCAATAAAAAATGACATTTAGTATCAATTACCCCTAAACCCAGAAGAACCCCATTCATTAGAAAATCATATAACATACCATTTGCCTGAGCATTTTCTCTTTGCGAACTTCTCGATCATGATGTAGAATAGACATTCTTTCAGCTGCATCCATTACAAAGAATATGTCATGAATGCCATACAGGGCAGCTCGCAACTAGGTTCAAAAGAAGAAAATATCGTATGCATTTAAAAGATAAGGGTAGAGTTCAGTAATATTATATATACTATGCACACTTCTTTTATGTATAAAAAAAGGTTATAGTAGTTTTCGTTGAAACCTATTTTCATTGATTAAATGAAGACAGAGAAAGGTAACATTTCTGTTTCATAAAAGCCTTAAGGATATGTACGTTTACCTGAGCTAACACTCTTTCCTGCAGTGAAGCATCTTGTGCTGAAACAACGCCTCTCTTTAATGGTGCTTCTGACTGAAAACTTCTCATGAATTCCATAGTATCCTGAAAAAAGAAATGCTCCTTCAAAAACATTTTTCTAGAAAGATTGATGATTACTGGAGTTTCCTTTTTTCTTTTTCCAAAAAATCCAAAATTACAGTTGTCCCTTGGTATCCATAGGGGATTGGTTCCAGGAACCCCACAGATACCAAAATCCAAGAATACTTAAGTCCATTATACAAAATGGTGCAGTATTTGCATACAATCTATGCACATCCTCCTGTATACTTTAAATCATCTTTAGATTACTTATAATACCTAATATAATGTAAATGCTATGTAAATAGTTGTTATACTGTATTGTTTAGGGAATAATGACAAGAAAAAAAATCTGTACATGTTCAGTACAGATGCAACCATCATTTTTTTTAATATTTTCAATCCGTTGTTGGCTGAATTCATGGATGCAGAATCCAGATGTGGGATCCACAAATACTGTGAGCCAAGTGTACTAAGAACATAAATAAAACTATTACTTATTTGAAGTCAAACAGCATTCACTTTGAAATGAGACAAAAATACACAAACTGGTGGGTGTGGTGGCTCATGCCTATAATCCTAGCACTTCAGGAGGCTGAGATGAGAAGATCACTTGAGGCCAGGAGTTTGAGACCAGCCTGAGCAACATAGCGAGACTTTGTCTCTACAAAAAATAGAAAAATTAGCCAAGCATAGTGGCACATGCCTGTAGTCCCAGCTACTAGGTAGGCAAAGGCAGGAGGATCACTGGAGCCCAGGAGTTTGAGGTTGCAGTGAGCTACAATGATGCTATTGCACTCTAGCCCTGGCAACAAAGGGAGACCCTGTCTCAAAAAAAAAAAAAAGGCACAAACTACTTCATTTACATAACATTTATAAAATTATCTGAGTAAGATTAATCATTAGATTTCTAAAAATATACAGTGACTAAAAAATGTTTGATCTCCCTAAGTTCTGAACTAATCTGTCAGCTGTCACAAGACTAATATAAATTATAAGTGAAATACAAAAAATGTACAACAATCTTACTTTTACAGTCTGTCGAAGTTGCTTCAGCTTATCTGTCTGCATAAGCCTACGAGTAAGAAATCCTTTTGCTACTGCAGTTATTTTGTTAAATTTTGCTTGTACTTCTGGACCAAAAATCTAGGAGAAATAAGATAGACACAATGTTTATTGATGCTCAATTGTACAACCTAAGATGCTGTAGCTCTTAAAAAAAGACAGATAAATAAGACAGATGGACATACATCATTAAGTTTGCTCACCTGAGACCATCTAGTTTTGGCCCTTCCAAAAGGCCTTGTTACTGAGAGTTTGGTCAAGCCACTAGTTGATGACCCCCAGAGGTAGAATGGTGCTTCATTCGAAGAACCAAAACTATGTTGTAGAGCAGAATTTGTGAAACCTAGAGAAATACACATATAGTATTATACTTGATGTCGTACAATCAGAATATGAAGAACATCCAATTAAACATCGTGACACTCATTAAGAATAACAACTGCCTCTGAAACTGATCCACACGCAGACTTAAATATTTATGGACTTTAAGCTTATGCACCAGATGGATCTTTTCAACACAAACGCATCTTAGGATAATTGAAGATGTGAAGATAAGCTCTTACAGGGATTGGGGAATTAGGCGTAACTCAAGATCACTTGGGAGATAGCAAACTATGTTTTCACTTGAAGTATATCACCTGCTGCATGAATGATCACAAACTGGGCTCTGAGCTGAATTTCCTGATATTTTCCTCACTAAGGCAGTCTTTTCTCGAGAACACCTGCTCATTAGGTCTTTGATCTGCTATCATGTCGTTTTTCATTGGTTACTAAGCAGCTGGCAAACAGCTGTGGGTTGGACATGGAATTACTTGAAGAAAGGAGCTACGATTTTAAAGTGTGCCAGATAAAATATCTTACTGTAGGATAATTTTTTCAAATGGAAAAAGATTTTTAAATATTTACCAGAACTATTTGAATTTGAAGTATGGAGTGAGTCCACTTGAGACAGCATTGTTTCTAGCAAACCAGAGTCACTTATTTTTTTCCATTCTAACTCTACCACATTGTTAATGTCCGATTCAGAGGCTTCTGCTGTAATTGCCTTCTTCTCTTTTAATATTTTCTCCTGTTCTTCTATTTCCTGTAGATTAACAGTTTATTATAACATGGTAGATCTTTTAATTATATCCCCAAATAGTATCATTTTAGGCTTAGCCAAAAGAACATGTAAGTATCCATAAATTATTATTTAAGTTTTCCTCCCTCAAATAAAATTATGAAAATGTATTTGATTTTAAAATGTGATACAATTATTCACACCTTATGGGTGCGGTGCCCACTGTCTGGGGCATGGGCATGCTTGTAGCTCTGACTTGGGTGGTGCAAAGGCAATGTATGTAATCTAAATGTTTGTACCCCTGTAATATTCTGAAATTCAAAAAAAATGTGATGCATTAACTATAATAATCTTATAACAAGTGTCCTTATGATATACCTCTTGCAGAATGTGTACTTCAGCATCTATCTATAAAGTACCTCTTAAAAATATTACATGTTTTGAATCAAGGATTCAATAAGGTATCCTTTTGATAAATTATACGGTTACTTTTAGGTAAGGATCTAAACGTTAAACTTTGCATTTTGACAATAAAAATGCTACCCATGTATCAAAATCAGTGACTCCCTTGGATTAAGATACATGGGGAAAAAATTGTAAGTATTCTATACATTACTAAAATTCATACTTATCCTCAGATAAATTTCACTTAACCAACCCAGTCTTCCCATGTATTTTAATTCCTCACCTTTTGCAGTCTTTCCTGTTCCCTTTCTTGCTCAGCTATGAGTAGTGATAACTGCTGGGCATGCTGTTCTTCTAGCCTCTTCCGCATTTCTTCAAAAGCAAACATCTTGCTTTTTAGTATCTCCTCGTTTTCTGAAAAGAAACACATCCCCTCAAATTTAGAAGGCTCACTACAAGTCTAATATCTGCTACCTTATACCATCAGTTTAAATTATGCTTCTGACAAGAGAACACAATCTGACATTACACTATCAAGATACAGCCGGGTCTACACTTTGAACCACATTCTCATTTGCCACTTCTCTTATTTCATGCTACCCAATAAAGCCTTGTGTCTCATCACCTTTACCCACTCCGTCAACAGAGCCCATCGTGATCTGAACTGAAGATTCTCCGGACCCTCACTATAAGATGTGGTCCTCAACTGCATCTTACCACTACTTATTTTTTTGACTCTTGTTCTTCTCTAGGATCTCTGGTATTGTAGCTTGTAGTTTTGCTCTGTTTTGATTTTTAAGGTAAATATTTCTTTGATGGTATAAAGATTTCTCAGTTTGAGGTTCCAGAAAAGACTGAACATTAAAATTCCAGATATTTTAGTTACTAACTAAAAAATATAAATCATTATCACTATGCAAGCTTACTGAATAGAAAGTGGTAAGACATATCAAAATGTTGGAATACCAAGTATTATGTAGATGTAGCAAGTGTGTATTCATGGATCCATTATAACTCAACTAAATTCAAAGAATCAAAATACACAATGATTTTCACTGAAGATAAGTTTATTATGTACTATTGTGCTACTACTGTAGTCTTCCCATAATTTGTTCCTAAATACATTTTATTCAGCGACAATTTGTACTTGTTTATGTGTAGTTTTTCACAGTCAAGGGGAGCTGGAAAAGCAGAGTAGAATTATAACCTTCAGCAAGAAAGGAAAAAGCCCCTCACCTCAACCACTCAGTGGACAGCAGGAGTCCATTTAGCTCTATCTTAAAAACTTGCACTGAGCTGTGGGCAGCTCTCAGCACGCTGCACTGCCTCCCCTCCCCACTGTGGCAGCTACCTGGCTGCCTCCATGATTGGCCTCATCTTGCATTATTAAAGCACTTATTAAGGCACTGCCAGAATTGCCACTCAGTTGGTTTTGTGTACTTTTGATATTCACTGAGGCGGCCTCTAGCCTTGCTATGTTGTCTATACTTCAGTGGTCCACAACCGTTTTGGCACCAGGGACCGTTTTCATGGAAGACAATTTTTCCACGGACCCGGCGGGGGTGAGGGGAAATGGTTTCAGGATGATTCAAGCACATTACATTTACTGTGAAGTTTATTTCTATTATTACATTGTTATATATAATGAAATAATTACATAACTCACCATAGGTTGGAGACCCCTGGTCTACTTGGAGGATCCAAGTTGGCTCCCCAAGTACCAACTGCTGTTTTCATTAGAACTTTCATAAAGTTGCACAGGTTTTAAGTAGTCTGCCCCAACCCTGTATTTCCCATAAGCCCTAAGAACTTAATTTACTTGATTTATATGTCTTCCATATCAGTAATGAAGAATTATGAACCATGACAGCAAAGGAGTGATGAAGAAGAAAAACATGCTTTAACAAATTGTTGTTAATGTAACACTGGATGCAATAGAAACCTGAAAAAATAATTTTTATTAATAAAGAACCATTCTTGAAACACTACTCAGAGCTTTATTTGTGATACTTTTCTCTAATAATTTGATGCTAAAGTGTTTACTGAGGAGCCAACTACATGAAGATCTCATTATAGATGAACGAACTGACAAAAATATTAGAAACCATAGTCCAAAAGAAAGACCTCATAGCAATACACTGGATTAAAACTATATATGATGTTTCACATAAGAACTGTTCCTTCAATCATTAATAATATTCTCAATAATATCAAGTAGACTATGAAAGCTTCATCATTTAAATAAGAAAATCCTTTAAGAAACACTATCAAATGGCAATAAACTGTAGCTATAAAAATTATATGCTTTCTAACAAGATAAATGAAGTGGCTGTATGAACAGATAAAGCAATTTTTTTTTCAAAATGTCAATGAAAAGTATTAAAATAAAGGTGCCATCTGCATAGCAAGTATCAAACACTTCAAAGTTTCCTTACCTTTGGAACTAGTTTCTGACATTTTATTCTTATTAATGAAGACAGATCCCTTAGGGTAGCTTTTTTCTGGCAAATGTTGCCTTTCCTGTTCAGCTATTCCAGTTGTTAAGACATAAGGGCAGTTTCCTTTTTGCAAACTATCAATATCTAAATCAAGTCTCCGTTTCACTTTCTCAAAACTGTTATCCAAAAATTGTTCATTTCCACAGAACACTATAGGTGTGTCTATCTGCTGTCTGGTATTCTGGTTTTGCATCAATAAAGGAGATGGGTTTTTTACATCATAAGATTTATTCAATTCCATTTGTAAATTGCAGTTTTTCTCTAACATACTGGCTGACTTGAGTCCACTCAGAGTTCCAAAGTTCTGACTTGCTACACACTGATTGGTGGCATATGGTTCATGCAATTTTGGCATGGCAATACAAGTGCTATTCATTTTGTACGCTCCTCTCTCATCAGATGTTAACTGACCTTCCGCAGTGGCAAGTCCATGAATAACTTTATTTTCTAATTGATTTCCTGTTGATTTACCTAAAACCATATCCTCAACGACTTCGGATGTATTTTTGCTGACATATACCTTGCTTGAACAAACTCCTGCTAAATTAATTGGTAACTTTGGCACAGTTTCGGCTACATTTGTTTTTTCATCAGTATCTTGAACAATTAAGTCCACTGCCTGTTCTTTTCCTTTGGGGCTTAATTCACAGGCATTTATTGGGTTATTTATAAGTATATGACATTCTGATGATGGCCTGGAACGCCTTCGATGCATTTTAGGACTCACACTTGGCTCTGGAGTAGGTAATTTGGCATATGAACTTGCAAGACTTTTGATAGCATTATTTTCAGTAACAAAAGTGGGAATAACTTTAAAATCAGAATCTAGAACAGTGGGATGGCCAGTTTGTATAGGTATGTCCACTTTAGAAAAGCTAGCTAAAACTGGCATGTTCATGCTGCTTGCTTGAATTGAAGCACCTTGGAGAAGAACATTTGATTTATTAAGGCTTGGTTTGTCGGGAATAACTGAGACACAGTGTTTGCTTATCAACTGGGCCTTCTCCTTTACACTGTTGATCACTTTGACAGCATCATTTTCTTTGTCTGAATGACTCTCATTAACACTCCTCTTTGCACTACTTCTCAGACTGCGTCTAGATTGTTCTCTTTCTATATATTCCTTTGACTTTTTCATCAGATTCTGAAGGCTCATTACATAGGGATCCAGGGTGACTTCTGCCAAAAGTGATGGATCCTGTTCTTCATTTGTTGACAAGACACTATCAGAAATAGGAGTCTCTTGTAGGGTTGCTGAGGAGATCTTTGGAAAAGCTTCATTTTCTTCATGACTAATATCTGAACTATCACATTGCTTCAGAGAATTAAATCCTTCTGAATCTCTGGCTAAGTCTATCTCATTAGTTTTACATTGATCTTCATTCTCCAATGGCAAAATTCCAGCTATCTTTTCAAGCTTTACTAAAGCAGAGTGTTCAGTAGGGCTTGGAAAGCTGTTTGGAAATGTAGCAGGAACATTCAAGTTTCTGACATCTGAATTAGAGTAAACTGTTTCAGTCTCCCACTGATCAAAATCACTGGTATTAGGTGCTTTTCTAACCTGAAAAAGGAAATTTAAAAATTAATATTTCCTCACTGCACAAAAGCCTTTAATTTCACTGTTTTCTATAATAAAACTAAAATTGAAGATTCAGAGTTCTGACATTTGAAAACATAAACAAAAACTAAGATGACTGGTTTCTAAGGTAAACTGTCATATAGGACTCAAATTACTATAAAAAATCTATTGGTCATTAGAGCCTATTTATTAAAAGAAAAAAGGAAATCATCTAATCTGATAAAAATATGGGCATAAATGTATATGTGAATGTATACGCACATATTCATATATACATGCGCAATTTAATCTCAGAATAGAGGCATTTTCCTTAACTTTCTCTGGTCATATGTTATTAACATCACTAGTTATTCCTCCTAGGATAGCTATCGTCTAAGGATAATAATGTATGTAATAAATAGCAAGTAATTAAATGTCTTACGCAAATGATCCCTCTCTAACAAAGACTAACTTGTCCAGGAACTGATTAAGCAAAAATAATTCAGTAATAAGACTCCTGTCTCCTACATGCTTACTCCCCATAAAATGAGGCAAATCTATTGTAAATAAAAGCTCAGCCATGTACCTTAAATTACTTAGAAATAAGAAATAGTTCAACTTAATTCATTAAAACAAAATTCAATTAGATTAACCGACTGTGAGTTAAAATAGCAAACTGTCTACATTTTGGACCAGCATAATAGGCAAAAATTTGATACATTAAGATGAGAACAACTGTATACACACGAGATCCAATAGAAAAAATAAAATACATTTAAAAATACATGTTAAAATAAATACACTTTGTATCTAAATAATCCAACTTTGCAAAAGAATAAAAAGAAAACTAGGATGGTTTCTAAAGAGTATACAAGAATATATTAAACTGGCAGAAATCATTAGACTCCAAAATACTGAATATTAAAATATTTGGAGGTTGTTTTGTGTTTGTTTTTTTCCTAGACCATATGGCTTGCCAATTTTACCTTACAAATCCCAAGACATGTAATGGTTTCCAGGTACTATGCAATAAACAGTACAAGAGGGCATACTTAGTCACAACCTCAGGACCAAAATAAACCAAAAGAGATGCAGATTCACAAATCTATGAACATGTTCATAGGTTTAAGAAAATTAGATTATTTCCTTATATGAAATATTTCACATTTCACATTTGTGATATTTAGCAGCTATGTTTTTATACACCACTAAAATGAGCCTTTGGTTAGACGAGTTAAATAACAACAAAAAAATCTACATAGAATCATAGGTTTTACAGGTGAAGCAGACCTTAGAAATCTGTTTATATAAAATTTCTCTAACTGAATAATTCATTACAGTTCAACATTACGTATGCTTTTTTAAACAGAAAACTTTTTAACTCAACAGTAATTTTGTTATTAGTATATTTTCTCTTCCTTCAATGGACCAAGAATGATATGCCATTTTTGTTTCAGTAACAGGAAATATCTAGTAAGTCAAAAACCCACCTCTTGTTGTTAAATTAGCCCTACACATTATATTTTTTTAACTTATTGACAGTAATTATAATCTGCAAATTAAAATCTAATACTCATACTATACGCTAACCACAGAGAATGCAGGTACCGGTGGTAGAAATATCCTAAGGTTCATTATACATACGTTTGTTATCAGGTATGAATTATACAGACAAACCACAAACCCCTAAGATTATGAAAAAACAAAAAGATGAAGACAGCAAAACAGTGCTATATATGACAGAAATTATTTTTCAACATAATTCATTTATTTTTCTTTTTAGTATAAAATGATCCACACCTTAAAACAAATTTTCTATACAAATTTAAATTAATCAAAATAAAAATAATTACAAAAAGGTGGATGTGTTGTTTAAATAGTTTTAACTCAGTTCTAGGATGCATCTAGGCAATTCTATTTATCAAATCCAAATTGCATTTTGTATATCCAAGAGTAGAATTTTAACCAAAAAAAATTGGGGGCAGTTATTTACTTTAGCAGAGAATGAGAATAAGGTCATGTAGTCTGATTAGTTTAGGAGTAAAGGACAATGACCAATTCTATCATTCTGTCACTAAGAATTCAATGTTTTTAGAGTCATAAGATGCAGACAATAAGCAATTATACTCGGTGTGTGGCTCCATTGTCTAAGTATCCTCTGATTCAAGTACTGGGCATCACTAACAAGCAAGTGAATTCTCTCTGGAGTAACTGAAACGGAATATCACGAATTATGAAGCTTCTCAAACATAACAGTAAAGTATATTGATAATTAGCTAAGTACAAATATATTTCTGAAAAATTATCACCAATGCTTACCTTATGATTTCTTAATTATAACCTAAAAGAGTTTAAATTACACACCTGAACATTTTCAAGAATCTCCTGGACACGAGTCAGTAAAGATTTCTTCCTATTAACCTGCTTCCTTGCTTCTACATCAAGTGCTTTCTGCTTTTCCTGTTGCATTTCCTTTCTTTGCTCAATGTTAAGCTGGAAAACATCATAAAAAGGTGATTATTTCTCAATGATAAAAATATCATACAATCAGAAAACATATTTGAAGAGAATGATTAAAAACATGTTTAAGAGGCAAAACTAATGTATAGTGAAAGAAATCTGAACAGTGGTTGGGGGTATTGAGTGGCATGGAATATGCAAGATCTTTCTGTGGTAATGAAAACATTCTGTGTGGGTGTGATTTATACAGGTGTATGCCATCTATCAAAATTTATGGAACTTTAACACTTAAGATCTGTGCATTTTACTGATGTAAATTATTGTCAATTGAAAAAAGTTAAAAGAAAAAATTTTGATCATTTATTAAATGCTCTAAATTAACAGAAATAAAATTAGCCCTTTTATTGGCCATCGCTGAGCTTTGCATTACTTCACTTAAATATTATTTTACTTTCAATATCTTACTTCACTGGGTCAGTTAGATTCTCTAATTTTTAATATTCTAATCAGTGCACATTTTACCTCTTTGCTGCCTCAAGAAAATGTCCAAAGGTTTAATGATAAAAGAAACAGATAATGTTTTATTTGCCTACAAAATCAGAACACATTTTTTACTCCACCTCATCATATCCTCCAATAAAAATAGAATGGACCTAAAATATTGAAGGCTTCTAACTATTATAGCTTTTTACAGTGGATGTAAATCTTAATGAAGTCCTGGGAAGTTTAGTGATTGTGTTAAGAGTCAAGACTTATTTTATACTTATGCAAATGAAAAAAAGTCATATAAAAAATTATTCCAAAGTTGTAATATTCATCTATCAAACACAACCACACAAATGTGAATTAAGTCGATAAACATCAGATTTTGCTTATAAATAAGTAACTGATGGAGTCATAGACCCTACATAACAAGCCTCAGACATTTGGTCCATATTAAATCAAGCAATATGTCATCAAATAGCTGATAAAATTGTTGTTATAAAATGTTTTTCTATTTGCTTGATACCAAAGAATCATTACACAGTTTGCTCATCAAAAAGGGGGAATGGCCGGGCGTGGTGGCTCACTCCTGTAATCCTAGCACTCTGGGAGGCCGAGGCGGGCGGATTGTTTGAGCTCAGGAGTTCAAGACCAGCCTGAGCAAGAGCGAGACCCCGTCTCTACCAAAAATAGAAAGAAATTAATTGGACAGCTAAAAATACATAGAAAGAATTAGCCCGGCATGGTGGCGCATGCCTGTAGTCCCAGCTACTCGGGAGGCTGAGGCAGTAGGATTGCTTGAGCCCAGGAGTTTGAGGTTGCTGTGAGCTAGGCTGACGCCACGGCACTCTAGCCCAGGCAACAAAGTGAGACTCTGTCTCAAACAAAAAAAAAAAAAAGAGGGGGAATGTATATTTTAAAAGAGATATCCAGCAGTCACCATTGTAAGCAAGTGTTCAAACTAAATATCACTAATAGGGGGACAACAAAACATGATGTAACTTCTGATTTAATTTAATATGAAGTACATATTTATTTAATATGGCATCATCTCAAAAGAATTCTTGCCAGAAATTTTTAACCTGATTCTAAGCAAACTTTAGACTTAAATTCCAGGTTAAAGAAACGACAAGGACTAAAAGAAGAAATTAAATATCACCATGAGGAAACAATTAGACAAATCCAAAATGTAAGGTATTCAACAAGACAATTTGTCTGGTCTCTTTAAAAACCCAATATCATAAAAAAATTTTTTTTTAAAGAGGCAGAGGCACTGTTCTACGTTAAAAGAGATTAAAGAAACATAACGAACAAACGTTATTTGTGAATTTTGACTGGATCCAGATTAGGGAAAAAAAAGCTATAAAAGACATTTTGAGGCCGGGTGTGGTGGCTCACGCTTGTAATCCTAGCACTCTGGGAGGACGAGGCAGGTGGATCGTTTGAACTCAGGAGTTCGAGACCAGCCTGAGCAAGAGCAAGACCCCGTCTCTACCAAAAATAGAAAGAAATTAATCGGATAGCTAAAAATATATAGAAAAAAATTAGCCGGGCATGGTGGCATGTGCCTGTAGTCCCAGCTACTCGGGAGGCTGAGGCAGGAGGATCGCTGGAGCCCAGGAGTTTGAGGTTGCTGTGAGCTATGATGACGCCATGGCACTCTAGCCCGGGCAAGACAGTGAGACTCTGTCTCAAAAAAAAAAAAAAAAAAAAGACATTTTGAGCACAAATGTAAAAATGTGAATATGAATGGAACATTAGATGCTATTAAAAATTATTATTAATTGTCTTAAGGTATGATAATGGTATTGAGACTTTATATAGGAGAATGTATTTGTTTTTAGGAGACATATACCAAAATAGGAGAGAAGTGGCAGGTATTTGCATTTTCAAATGGCTAGGGAATTTTTAAGAATGCATGTATATTCATACATTCATACATACAAATACATAAAATCACAAACAGATAAAGCAAAGATGGCAAAAATGTTAAAAATTGTTAAATCTAAATGGTAAACCTATGGGTGGTCATTGTACCATCCTTTCAATTTTTCTATATGTTTGCAAATTTCATTACAAAAAGTTGGCAGAAAGTATCTTTTAACTCCTGTTATATAAAAAAAATTTTAAACTCATTTTTCCAATATTAATTTTCTGATTTAAAATAAAGTCATGTACATTTAAAAAATATTCAATCAGTATCAAAGGGTACATGATGAAGAAGAGTCTTCCCTACTATGCTCTATTCCCTTACCACTTCCCAGAAAAGGGATATACCATCCTTTTAAAAACCCAAATGGTTAACATATATTGAGTTTATGTTACCTCCTATGATCCAGGTAGTATTCTAAGCATTTTATACATATTAATTCATTTAATTCTCAAAACAGACTTATAAGGTAGGTACTATTTTTATCACCATTTCACAAATAAGGAAATGGATCACAAATTCACCCAGTAGTTAAGGAGCAAAGGAATGATTTGAACTCGGGCCAAAAGGCACCAGAGCCTGGACTTTCAACAGTTATTCTACACTGCCTCTGACAACAGGCTGCACACAGTGATCTTTCCATGCTTTCATATTTAGATCTACCTTACTCATTGTAATGACATGTGTAAGATTCTATAAAAGCCCACAGTTAAATGAATCCACTACTGATGGACATTTAGGTGGTTTATCAATCTTTTGCTATTTTAAACAATGATACTATAACCTTGTACATATTTCCTTGGGCACACATATCAGTATAATTGTAGGATGTTCCCAAAAACAAAACTGCTGAGTCAAAGGTTATGCACTTTAAAATTCTGATAAACACTACGAAACTGCTCACCAAAAAATGGAATCAAATGATTCTCTCAGCAAGAGTACATTAGAAGTACATTTTCTCCACAACCTAAGGAACATTAGGTCCTATCAGATCTTTGCCAATCTAGTAGGTAAAAAATAATAATTCATTGGTATTTCTCTAATTATGTTTCTTTTGGGATTTTTTTGGTTTGTTTTTTTAGAGATGGGGGTCTCATTTTATTGCCCAGGCTAGAGTGCAGTGGCTATTCATGGGCATGATCCCACTACTCTCCTTAGGTAACCTGGTGATTGGTACCCTGCTCCCAGGTCACCATATTGATGCTGAATTTAGTGCAGACACCCATTCACACTATAACGCACCATAGCTCACCATAGCACACTTTAGTCAGAACTCCTCGGCTCAAGCAATCCTCCCATCTCAGCCTCCCAAGTAGCCAGACTATAGGCATATGCCACCATGCCCAGCATTTCTCTAATTACGAAAAAGGGTTAGGCAGCTCTTCAAATGTTTATAAGCCTTTCTTTTGTTTTTCCATGAACTGCCTTAGTGGTTCACTACAGAAAAAAATTATTTAAAAACAAAGTTTACCAGTGGCGAAAGCACAGCCACTCCATGGAAGCGAATAAGTGAAATACTTTCAGACTGGGCAGGTAGAAAGCTCTCTGTGGATACTGATGCTTCTTGTATTCTGGCAAGACTTTTTTCACAGAACTTCTCATATTCCTCCATCTTCTCACAATCACACTACAAGAGAGAAAAATGTTATTTTTAATATGCTGAGAAAAACAGATCTTAATTATTTGGCAAATTTGTAGAGCAGGAGATAGTCTTAGCATTCACAATTCCTACAGCTGGCCTTCCCAGAACTCTCTCACTCATCAGGAGCTAATTCTTGAGTATACTAAATTACCTTAAGATCCTGGCAGTTAAGACTTGCTTCATATATTAATTATTTCTGAACATTTTTGTAGATAAATCAATCTTTAAATGAGACTATTTTAGAAGAACACTAAGAACTCAGCAAAACCTTACAGGAACAAAGCTCTGTACCACTTTACTAACTTCAGATTGCAAAATAGGATATATTTCCTTTAACAGGACTTATCTACACAATACAAGTACCTATACAGTATACATATCATACAAAAGTAGAAATGCTTTTGTAGCAAAAAAAAGGGGCTAGTTAAATAAAACAATATTTCCTTTTAAAAATTCTTTTTCTATTATGAAGTTCAAAGGCTATTACTTGCATATCTTTTTTTCTTTTAATTTAAGACACAGAGTCTCATTATGTTGCCCAGGCTAGCTTGCAGTGGCTATTCATTGGTGTAATCATAGCATAGTATAGCCTTGAACACCTGGGCTCAAGCGATCCTCCTGCCTCAGCTTGCGTATCTTAAGACTATGTTTTGACTCCATGGTGGGCCAGTCAGAGGTGAAAAGCAGAAAATCCATTGGCTATGGTATTAATTCTATTTTATTGTTGAAAATTGGAACCACCACCAAACTACTTAAATCAATCTGCCCAGTAATTTCACTATTTCTGGGAAATTTTAATGGTGGTTATGAAAATATAAGGTAACCAGGAAGGATTAGCCCCATATTCATTCATTCAATAGGTATTAAATATTTATTGTTTGCTTGTTTGCATAGCATTTTGTGTGACACTGTTTCCTTTAAATAAGTGAGGGAAAATAAAGAGAGACATCAGAATCATAACCAACAAAAGTAGGAACTGTGGACACAGAATACAATAATGTTCCTTTATGTGTTCATTTTAAAACAATTAACTAACAAAAAAAGAGAAGGCAGGGAAATTGAATTCATGATGTGGGCAAAGATGAAATAAGACAGAGTATGATACTATACTAGACCTCAAAGTACTTAAAAATTCAGTACACTAAAGTGTCAGGGACAAATTATAGTGCAATTAGAAATGAAAAAAGCATATTCAAAATTATGATTAAATTATGAAAAAAATAAAATGTGTTGCTACTTTTGGCCAACTGGTAGTTTTATCAATAACAAAAACTTCTTTCTACCATTCCATCAATTATTTCTATATTCAATTTATGCAAAGTGAGTTTAGATTCAAAGAAATGGTTCTCTACAGCATGAACAAGATTTTGCAAGCTTATATTCATTTAAAAAAGCATAAGTAAAAACAACAAAACACCTTACTGCATAACAATTTTTTAGTCTAGGTTTCAACCCACATTATATTGTAACAACCAAAATATGCAGTAGCTAAGATGTAAAAGAAATTCAAATGAACCTATTTCTGCTAAAATACTTAAAAGCACTTTTGTGAAACAACTCATGCATCCAGCATTGCAGGGAATATAAATAGATTATTCAAACAAATAAAGTAATATACTTTAAATATGCAAGCAAAACATAAAATTCAATTTTAAAGGTCTAGAAAATTTAAGGCAATAGTTTCATTTTTCTTTCAATAACATCATAGAGTTATGCCTCACTGTTTCAGAAAGTTATTCACATACCTTAAATACTACATATATGTCCTACGTATTGCAGATATACAATAATTTATTATTATTACAGCATAATTTACAGCATATGACAATGTATTAACCATTCAAATACAAGTGCTAATATGGAGATAAGGGAAATTACCAAATGATCCTGGAGCATGATTGGATCTTACTTATTCTGCAGTCTCAGCTTGGATGTCCCCTCCTAAGAGAGGCCCTCCCTGATTACCCCATCTAAATTGGCCCTGCCTCAGTCACTCTCACATTACCCTGCTGTTTCCCAATTTTCAGAGCACTTACCACTATCTGAAATTATCTTGTTTATTTCCTTGATTTTTGTCTGTCTTCCTCCACCAAAATGTAAGCTCCATAAGCACAGGTACCTTTTCAGTCTTGCTCACTGAATCCCCATTACACAGAACAGTGTCAGCACACAGTAGGCTCTTGATAAAAGTATTGAATAAATGAATTAGGGTAATTACTCAAACAATAATGTGAACTGGGAGAAAACAGAAGAAGGTGGACTATACACCAAAGAAGCTAGCAAGGAAAATGGAATTGAGTAGTTTCATGGATGAACCTATTCCCAGAGAAACTGGTACCTCTAAACTGCAAAGGCAACTATTTAAAAAGTGAGCAGTCCATATCCCATGATTAAGCAAGAGGGCATTATGTTTCTCACACCACAATTACCACTGTCAACAAGGTTTTATTTTAAGGAAGCCTTGACTACAAATCTACTGTCCCATACTTTACCATCAGGCATTACTGGTCCACTTCCATTAATAATTTGTCAGCTGCAGCAGGTTCAGACATGCCTTGTCTTCTCCCTTTATACCATAGAGTGCTACTGACCCTTTTCCAAATGAGCCTCTTTGCAAACTCCCAGACTCACGGTCCTATCTGCTCCTTACCAATGCTCTGCCAGAAATGTCACTAAAGAGAATGGTAAAAGTAACACAAAACAGATCTCGCCTTGTTTTCAGATCCTAGCTGGTTGTTTAACGATCAGTTCCCCCAAAGATGCAAACTTCTTGGAGAGGCAGTAAAGGGGGAGATTTGTTATTCAAACACATACTAGCTGCACGTTCTTGGCAAGCCAATTACCATCCCTAGGCCTCAGTTTCCCTTCTCTGTAAAATAGGGATAATCAGAGTATCTGTCTCGACGGGATTTTGAAAGAATTCAATGAGCTAATGCATGAATGGCCATTAGCATACTGCAGGACACGCAGAACGCGTCAATAAATGGGAGTTGTTTTTCCTATGAAAAGGATAATGATGATGATGATGATTTTTAAACACTAGACTAGAACTCCTGGAGGGCAGAAACAGTGCTTGCTTGGTTCCCGGTAGGATTCGAATGTAGTTTAAAAACATGGAAAGGGGGACAACAGCGTCCTCATTTCGCTGTCTCCCAAGCCCTCCCCATCAAATCAATCTCTAGACGGCTGCCATTTGCCTAAACTGGGGAAGGAGAAGGGGACTGGAATCATAACTAGATAGTAGAAGCAAAGGGTGGGAACCACCTAGCAGCCTCAGGAGCAATCAAGATTTGCTTTATTATGCTCAAGCTTATGCCCCAGAGTGGCAAAGACGGAGTAAACAGAGCTCCTAGCAAGGGCCCCTGGTTGTGGTAACCGGCGCTCAGAAATGGCCAGTGCACACCCTGGGGACGTCTCCCTCTCCAGCGCCGTGGGAGGAAGAAGAAAAACGGCCCCGTTTTATCACCAGGAGGGGATTCTCCGGCTCTGGCCCGAGTTTTATTCACCAGGGATCCTCCAGCCTCACCCCAGGCGCCCCGCGCCACCTCCCCGGGTCCTCTGATAAGGCTCCATGCCAAAGGCCCAGCCGGTGGTGCTAGCATCTGAGCATCACCTCCGCGCCCGAAGCTCCCTGCCCCCGGGCTCCGCATCCCCGCCCCGGAGCCTTTCCAGAGGCTCGAGACCCCGGGGCCCAGCACAGGGACCGCCCTCAGCGCCTCAGGACGCCAATTCTGCCTCTCCAGGCTGCCTCTCAGTTCGTACCCGCTGAGGGTCGAGCCCCCTCCTCATGCACACACCTGATTTCCCACGGCTCCGTGAGATTTTCTCCCCTCGCCACGGGACTTGTCAGAAGGCAAAAGGCTCAATTGGTACCGACAGAAAGCAGCTCGATCCGCCGCCGCCTTCTCCTCCTCCTCCCCGCCATATTACGGGTCTTGGGCGGCAACGCGGGCTCCTGGCAACCGATGCCGCCACCGCCTCCCGAACTCCGCCTCTCAGGACCGGTACTTCCGGTGGTTGCTTCCTGGGCAGTTGGAACGGTTGGGCCTGCAGAAAACTACAATCTCCGAGGTGCATTGCGCACCTGTATCGGAAGGGGTAGTACTCACGGCGAGCACGCTGCGCGCCGGGAAACGTAGTCTTCACTGCAAGCTAGCGCCTCTTTTAGTTTTTTGTTTATTTGTCTGAAGCCCCGTAAAGTATTCCTTGAAGTTGCCATTTTTTGTTTATCTGTGTAGAGATAACGTCTTGCTGTGTGGTCGTTGGAAAACAGCTTTCACCAAAATTTTTTCTCTGTAGATAAAAAATTGCTGAATCTTAGATGCCAACTAGAAACCTTAAGACATCTATAACCTTTTGCAAATCAGTGGAAAAAGGTAACAGGGAAAGCCCTGAATCATATGCCAAAGTTTTCTGTCTAACATCTTACCGGCTTTCCAAAATATGATTTAGTGACCCCTGGCCATTCCCTAACTCAGCTTTACCTTCTATCTCTCTTAGGAACCTTCCTTCCGGTGCTTATTTTTGCATATGTAAAATGGAGGTTTTAAAAGTGCCTATCACAAGGGTAGTTATGCACAAATGAGATAATTCCTGGTACAGAAGCCTTTAGTAGGAGAAGTAGTAGCAGTGGAAAGGTCACAAGCCACTGGGGAAGCTTGATGTCAGTCCTGACCCTGCCATTAACTGCTGACTTCTGTGAAAAGAGGGAATCTTTGGAACCCCTTCCAGTTTTATAATCTGATTGTACCTCCTTTGCAAGTCTCTTTCATTCCCTCAGAATCTGAAAAATCCTTCTAAAGTCCATTGAAATCAGTCTCCTGAGATAATACCCCCTTACTAAGGCTGTTGTGAGAAAAATAGACATAGAAATGTTTGCTGGCACAGTACCTGGGACGTAGTAAGTGCTCTGTAGCTGTACTTGCTAACACTATTATTTCCCCCCACGAGCATGTGAGTCCCACAAGAGCAAGGACCCTTCAGGTCCTTTTCATTGCTGCGTCCTGGGCACCTGAACTGGTGATGGGCACACCTTAAATTGAATTAAATTAAATAAATAGTCTAAAAAATAAATAAATAGTCTAAGCATCCTGCCCCTTCAAGGTTCCCTGGACTTCAGTTTCCACAAGGGCAGATAAAGAAGTCACTAAGATCTCTTCCAGACCTACAGCTGTAGGACGGTTCTTTTCCCTGCCCTTCTCGCCTACAGAGAATGCCCAGGTGAAGGTCCCGACACCAGACAACCCAAAGCTACTTTAGAACTAGAGCCTGGGTGGACCTGGAGCCTGGGCTCGTCTCCGTTGCCATGGAGAGGCCCCGCCCCCAGCGCTGGCTATCCCGGGCCCTGATTGGCTGGACAGCCGGTTCCCCCTGTGGATGTGTCCGCCGCCGCCATTGTGCGGCGCTAGTCTCCTCAGAGGGTGCCAGCTGTGGCCAGTGCTTCGAGCGCTTCCCCTCGCTTCTCGCTCTCCTATTCTGGGGGCCCGGCAGGTCCGGGACTCCTGTCCGTGCCGGTGCGGGCGCCGGCATGTGGCTGTGGGAGGACCAGGGGGGCCTCATGGGCCCCTTCTCCTTCCTGCTGGTGCTGCTGCTGCTGGTGACGCGCAGCCCCTTCAATGCCTGCCTCCTCACAGGCAGCCTCTTCGTCCTGCTGCGCATCTTCAGCTTTGAGCCGGTGCCCTCCCGCAGGGCCCTGGAGGTGCTCAAACCCCGGGACCGCGTTTCAGCCATCGCCCATCGCGGCGGCAGTCACGACGCCCCTGAGAACACGCTGGCGGCCATTCGGCAGGTGAGCCCCCCCGCGCCTCGCGCCCCTGGGTCCTGCGGAGAGCTCGGACTTCTGCCCGTCCTTCCGAAGGTTCCCCGGCCTCCGCCTGACAGCCTTCCCAGTTCCTCACTCGTCCGCAAGAAATACGTTCCGGTGGCCCTTGATCCCTCGCAGTGTCTAGAAATCTCGTCTCCCGACTTGAGGTGTTTATAGACTACAGCAAATATTTATATAGTCGCTACGTGCCGGATACTGAGGTTACAGCCAAGGAAAAGACCAAAAGGGCCCCTGCTTTACAGAGCTTACACTGGAGTGGGAGAGACAGGCCTTAGACAAGTAAACGCATAAATATTACTCTAAGAGAGTGAAAAGTGCAATGAAGAAGCAGGGTTATGAGACAAAGAATGACGGGGGGCGGGAGGAGTTAAACAATTTTAGATGGAGTCGTCAGAGAGAAATCCTCTCTGAAGAAGTGACATTTGAATTGAAACCGGAATTATGAGAAGGCGCCAGCCAGGGAAAAGCAAGTGGAAAGGTCCCGAGGCGGGAATGATGTTGGCGAGTTCAAGGAACAGAAGAGGCAGTATGTGGCCTGACTTCAAGGAACAGAGCAAAGGTCGGTGTGTCAGTGCAGTAGAAAATGGGCCGTGTCAGGTAGGGTCTTGTTCAGTAATTGAGGTTATTCTAAGTGGATCACCCTTCACAGGACATATCTTTGCTTTGTCCTCTAAATTACTGGAGTCATCTCCTTATCACCTTTCTCCCCAGACACACACATTCACACACAACCCTGGCAGCTGGACTCGTGATAAATTTTTCCTCCCTTTTTCACAAGACACTCCTGAGACGCTTGATAACCACCCAGTTCTTGGCAGTCTCCTGATTAGGCACTTTTGCATCTGTGTAAATATATCTGACCCCTTCATTTCTTTGAGACATTATTTTAACATTCATTGAGTGGGTGGGAAAACCATGACTCAAACACACACAGCTCCTTCTAGAATTTAGCCTTCTGATTCCAAGCCCCAGTGCTCTTTGTCATAGATTAGAATATGGTCTAGGATGTAAAAACTTGGACTGCCTGCCCTTTCTTCGTCAGGCATTATTGTGTAAAGAGCAAGTTAACTTAAGTTCCCTATGTCCCAGTCAGGGTCATGACTACCGTGTGCTGCAAGCAAGGCACCCTATGGCACCTCTCTTCACCCTAGTCTCAACTGTGACCTCAGTTTCACCATCTGTAAAATGGGAATAATAATAGTGTCTACCAAATAGGTTGTGAGGATTCAGTGATCTAATCCACATAAAGTAAAGCCTGGTAAGACCTCCACAGATGTAAACTATGTACGCCAAGAATCCTAAGATGGCTTGAATCTTTAAAAATCAAGGTAAAAAAATTAAGTCTAAAGAAGGAAGAAGGTCAGGAGGGCAACCTTTGAGTTAATGGAGAGCACCTGACTTTTTGTGTGTAAGCAGGTTAAGCATCTCTTATGCTTCTCTCCATTTGGTTCTTTTTATACTTTGTGATGGAAGGGAACCAAAGAAGCTTTTCTAGCCTCCTGTTTAAATATAAGTCTAAAGATATTGAAGAATGTATTTTGTATTCTTAAACTCAGAGAGGTCTGATGAAGTAACATATACATATGTTAGTATTACATTTTATTTAGTATTAGATAGTATTGTCATGTAAAGAAGGAAGATAATTACTATAGGAAAAAAGCACATAATTGTCATTGCTTCCATTTCAACTTACCTTTATGTAAGTTGCCTTAAAGTATATAGCTCACTGCTAATTGAGCACAGAAGGTATTCATAGGTGTTTACTGATGAATGTGGTGGTTTGACTAGGAGCATGTTTGACTGAATGTAAATCATGTTATATGAATGAGGAAGTATGTATGTGAAATACACATACACATACAGTATTTCATATCCTGTTGTGTTGCAAGGGAATTATAGCTAAATTCCATCCATGTCTTTTTTTTTTTATTTCAGCATATTATGGGGATACAGATGTTTAGATTATGTATGTTGTCCTTGCCGCCTCTCTGCCCCCAAGTCCTAGCTTTGAGCACGTCCATCCCCCGGATGGTGCACATCGCACTCTTTGTGCATCCATGTCTTATATGTTTAAGTTGAGCGTGTCTTTATGTAATGTAATAATGATAGTAAACATTGTGCCAAATTAATTCCTGGTCTTAAGAGGAAATGAGATGTGGTAATAAAGCTTGTTAGAATATAAGGTCATTATCAATGAACTTTTTGCCATAACAGTGTTTAGCTGCTGAATACACACTGCGGAAGACAAGGCTGTGGCTTCCCTCTTGACTTCAAAAGAAACACAGTAATCCTCTGTATCTGTGGGTTCCCATTCTGCAGATTTAACCAACCCAAACTGAAAATATTTGAGGAAAAAAAAAACAATAAAAAAACAATACAATAGTAAAAAATAATACAAAAACCAGTACATTATAAAACTATTTACATAGCATTTACATTGTATTACTTATAAGTTAATCTAGAGATGATTTAAAGTACAAGTCCTCAGTTAATGTCATTGATAGATTCTTGAAAACTTTGATTTTAGGTGAAACAACATAAAATGAAACCAACTCTTTTCCTCATCAAAGGTATTGCAAAACAACATTAAATGAAACCAGGTTGTTCTAGGACCTGCTGTACATCCTTTTGCTGAAAGTCATAGTTTCCAAGAACCTATCAACGATGTTAAGTGAGGACTGTATACAGAAGGATGTTTGTAGGTCGTATGCAAATACTATACCATTTTATATAAGGGACTTGAGCATCAGCTGATTTTGGTATCAATGGGGGTCCTGAAACTAATCCCCCGTGGATACCAAGGGGAAACTGTACATAGTTTATTTCCATCAAAGTTCATTTTTTTGTCCTATCCTCTTCTTCATCTCTGCTTGTTTGCTGCTCATAACTCATATTCTTAAACATTTTACTGTGTAAAAAAATCAAGGAAGACATTCTGACAGTGGTAGAATTTCTAGTAGATTATAAACTATATGTAGAAGGAAAACTTGATAAATGTGAAATAAATGTGTTTCAAAAACAGATACACACAGCTGGGCACAGTGGCTTACGCCTGTAATCCTAGCACTCTGGGAGGCCGAGGCGGGCAGATTGTTTGAGCTCAGGAGTTCGAGACCAGCCTGAGTAAGAGGGAGACCCCATCTCTACTAAAACTTAGAAATAAATTAGCCAGACAACTGAAAATATATAGAAAAAATTATCCGGGCATGGTGGCGCATGCCTGTAGTCCCAGCTACTCGGGAGACTGAGGCAGGAGGATTGCTTGAGCCCAGGAGTTTGAGGTTGCTGTGAGCTAGGCTGACGCCACGGCGCTCTAGCCCAGGCAACACAGTGAGACTCTGTCTCCAAAAAAAAAAAAAAAAAAAACAGATATACTATTATAAACAGTAGTAAAGGAATGAAATTACACCCACAGTACTTTTACCACACAGGGGCCCTAGTGTAACTTTAAAAGTACAAATCAGATTATATCCTGCCATTATTTAAAACTCTCCAGTGGTTTCCTGTTGCAATTAGATAAAATCAAAGCACCTTTGTATTTTGTACCTTTCTCCAAAGATCCTGCTCTCTCTGTTCCAACCACCCTCAATATTTGTTAGAATGCTTTTGGCTTCATGTAATAGTCCAACTTCAAATATCTCAGACAATAAGGGGACTTATTATCTCACATAACAAGAAGGGTTTGTTGGTTGGGGGAGGTATGGCTTCCAGGATGGTTAATCCAGCTGTTCAATTTGTGATCATGGACAACCTGGGTTCTGTTGATCTATCATATTTGCTAACCCTCCTTGTAGTTGCCAGGTGGTCAGTGCAGCCCCAGGCATCACATTCTTAAACGCCGGCATCCAATCTCAAGGAAAGACTCCACTCCCTCTTTCTTGTGTCTTTCCCAGAAGCTCGCCTCCCTTATGGGTTGGGAATAGTCCACTTTGTCACCCGAGCACAGGAAAAAGCTGAACACTGGGGCAAGAACAGGTCTCTGCCAGCAGGGAGAAAAAGAGAAATAGATTTGGGTAGGTAATCAACACTTTGTGCCACCTGGATGGCTCCCTTCTATGTTGTGGCCTTGATATTACACTTGCCATTTCTTCTGCTTGGCAAACTCTTCCCCCAGATCTTTTGCACAGTTAGGTCCCTTTTACCTTTAAGGTCTCAGCTAGCTCAAATGTCATATTCTCAGAGAGGACTCCCCTGGCTGCCTTGGCTAGTGACCCCCACCTACCTTAACCTTCACATTACTCTCTATTTTCTTCTTCAAAATGTGAAAAATATTTATAGTTATTGTGATTTGTGTGTTACATGTTTGTAATCTGTTTCTCCCTACTAAAATGTAAGATCCATGATCCTTTTCTCTCTTGCTCACCACTATCTCACTGTTTAGAACAGTGCCTGATACATAATAGGCACTCAGTAAATGTATGTTGGAAGTACTGTGAAGTAATAATAGTCAGTAAGTCCATTGAGGAAAGGTACTCAACATCATTAGCCATCAGAGAAGTACAAATTAAAAACACAATGAAATACCACTTCGTAACCACTAGGATGGCTATAAGCAAAAAGACAAAATAACAAGTGTTGGCAAGGATGTAGAGAAATTGGAACCCGGCATTGCGCAAGTCTGTTGGCTTCATTTTTCCAACAGCCTGTGCTCATTTCTTATCTATGTGTCATATTTTGGTAATTCTTGCAATATTTCAAACTTTTTCATTAGTATTATATCTGTTATAGTGATCTGTGATCAGTGATTTTTGGTGTTACTATTATAATTGGGGGTGCCATGAATCCTGCCCATATAAAATAGTGAACTTAATAATTGTTATGTGTGTTCTGATGGCTCCACCGACCAACCATTCTATCTCTTTCTCTCTACCCCCTCAGGCCTCCTTATTCCCTGAGATGCAATAATATTGAAATTAGGCCAGTTAATAACCCTGCAGTGGCCTCTGAGTGTTCAAGTGAGAGGAAAAGTAGCACGTATCTCACTTTAAATAAAAAGCTAGAAATAATTAAGCTTTGTGAAGAAGGCATGTCTAAAGCTGAGACAGGAGGAAAGCTAGTTAGCCAAGTTGTAAATTGGGAAAAGTTCTTGAAGGAAATTAAAAGTGCTATTCCAGTGAACACACAAATTATATGAAAGCAAAACAGCCTTATTGCTGATATGGAGAAAGTTTTAGTGGTCTGGATAGAAGATCAAACCAGCCACAATATTCCCTTAAGCCAAAGCCTAATGCAGAGCAAGGCCCTAACTCTCTTCAGTTCTATGAAAACTAAGAGAGGTGAGGAACTACAGAAGAAAAGTTTGAAGCAAGTAGAGACTGGTTCATAAAGCTTAAGGAAAGAAGTGGTCTCCATGACATAAAAATGCAAGGTGAAGCAGCAAGTGCTGATTGATGTAGAAGGTGCAGCAAGTTATCCAGAACCTCTAGCTAAGATCATTGGTGAAGGTGGCTACACTAAACAGATTTTCAATGTTCAGCAGCTGTCAACATCGAGGCAAGACCCTTTACTGGCAAAAAGATCATGACTCACTGAAGGCTCAGATAATTGTTAGCATTTTTTAGCAATAAAGTATTTTTTAATTAAGGTGTACACACTGTTTTTTAGACATGATGCTATTGCACTCTCAATAGACTACAGTATAGTGTAAACATACCTTTTATATGCACTGAAAAACCAAAGGATTTGTGTGACTTCCTTTGTTGCAATATTCATTTCATTATAGTGGTCTGGAACTGAACCTGCAATATCTGTGAGGTATGCCTATGTATATTAATGTGTGAATTAGAACCAGGGGTTTATCTTTTTGTCTCTATAACTGGAATAACATAGAAGTGTTGGTAAAGAAAGTTAAATGCAGTCATTAGAAGATCTGGCCTAAGAAACTCTAATATAGTGTTTCTTTTATAGAGCTTTTGTTTTGTCTTTTGTTTTTGGCCTTATTAAACTACTCAGAAAAACAAATACATGAACTATTCATTTGTTTTACTATTCTTACTAAAATACCATGTCTGACCATTTTTACTTTTTGTGTTGTAGTCAAATAAAGATGGCCTCAATGAATAAAATATAATCGAACCTAATTATAGTGCCAGCAATAAGGAATTAGGATAACATTTGTGTTATAGTGAGAAAGATGCACTATGTGTACTGAAAATGTGGTTTTACATTGTAAAATATACAACCCATGTTGATGTACCAGTACATTATTCTGTCTTTAATTTATAAAAGGTATATCTTTTAAAATGTTTTGACCAGTATAGATTATTATGACTTTTCCCCTAGGCTTGTCAAATCATAATAGCTTATATGTATAGAGTGCCAACTCTGAGCCAGGCACCAAGCTTGGGAATCTACATGCATTATTTTTAAATCCTCACAACAACTCTTGGGATCATTATAGAAATATCATCTTAAAAATAATGAAACTGAGGCTAGAGTGGATAAGTAACTTGACTAGATGACATAGCCAGTCAGTGATGGAATTGGGATTGGGGGGGCAGGGAGGATATCTAGGTCATATATGTGAAAATCAAGCTTTGGAGCTTAGAAGAAAATATAGTTGTGCATCTTTATCACATGGGAGTAGGAAAAGATTTAAATAAGGTAGAAAAATCTCTGCCCATAAAGGGCATTGTTGATAAATTTGACTATATTACCCTTAAAAATATATTAATAAAGGACATGGTTAATAACAATGGCTAACATTTATTGAATTCTCACTATGCGCTAGCACAGTGCTACATGTTGTTTGTGGGTACTAAGTGTGTTGTGAATATGTAAATACCTATAAGGAAGTGATACGGGAATGATAAACACCAACTTTAAGATGGTAATTACTTCTGAATAGGAAGAGAAGAGAATGAATGGGAGAATGTTGGCTTCATCTGTAGTACTGATAGTAAAATCATAGTGGTTAAGAGTGCAACTTCTAGCACATCCTAGCTTGTGTAACCGTGGGCAAGTTTCTTAATCTTTCTCTGTCTCAGTTTCCTTGTCTGTAAAATGGGCATATTCATAGTTCTTGCTGCAGAGTTATGAGGATCAAATGAGTTAATACATTTAACACACTTAGAATAGTGTCTGGCTAGTAGAAAAGTCTCAATAAATAAGCTTTTTTTCTCTTTTTAGGACAGGAAGAGATTGAGGCAAATAGAATGAAACATTAACATCTTCTAAGTCTTTTTTTACTCTATACTATATATGTTTGCAATGGACCATTACTTAAAAAATTTTTTTAATTAAAAATATTGATCATATTGAGCATTTCACATCTTCATTGTGATGAGAAAACCAAGGAGGCAAACATTAGATAGTATGTTTCCAGAGGAACATTGCTTATAAAATTTAATGCTCAAATTCTCTTTTTAGATAAGTTCTAATATACCTTATCAAGCTTACCAATTTATTGGCCAACACTAACAATAACCCTTTAGGTAGCTCACATAAACAAAATGTGTTCCCTAGAAGCAGGCTTGGTGTTTCTGTGATAGAGGATGGAGTTAAACCAACAAAAACCTGACTCATCTTGTTTATGCCAAAGTAGTGAAATATATGACTAATCAACAAACACAGGGGAAGTAGCAGAGCTACCATACCAATAGATAGTGTAGGTAAACAGTGGAATTTGTCTAAATATTTGTAAGCCATTGATGACCCATATATTAATAGTTAAAGCATCCAGAGAAAACTTAAGTTGCTGAAGTCTCCCTGTCTGCCACTGTGAGAGTGGGAAGGGTGGGGAAATTGAAGTTTTTAAGAAATCTGTCAGTTAAGAGTTGAAGTAAGGCTGACATCCATGGAAAACAGAAAGAGGTCAGAGTTGCTGTTTGGCAGGGCAAGGGGAAGGAATCAATAAGAACAGCTATCTGCTTAGCCAGTCCTGTTGGTCTTCTTGAGTGGTTAGGTACAAAATGACGTTTGTGGCCATTTGACGGTAATATTGTTGATGTTTTTGTTAAGGCAGCTAAGAATGGAGCAACAGGCGTGGAGTTGGACATTGAGTTTACCTCTGATGGGGTTCCTGTCTTAATGCACGATAACACAGTAGACAGGACAACCGATGGGACTGGTCGATTGTGTGATTTGACATTTGAACAAATTAGGAAGCTTAATCCTGCAGCAAATCACAGACGCAGGTAAGTAGTTTATTGTCATTTAAACATATCTTTTAGCTTTTGTTGGAGGTCACAGATAGACACTGGCACCTTCTAATTACATCTTCTGCTCCAGGAGAGTTCTTTCATTTTGTTTTGTTTTGAACTGTGTACAGGTTTTCTGAGTATTGAGTAGGTGCCAGGAAGAACCAAAATATGGCAGTATGTTTTTAATCTTTCCCACTGAAGCCAAATTTGGCCTCAGAATTATTCTTAAAATAATACTCTGTCTAGTCACTAACAAGACTGTTACTTTGTACTGTCATTTAAATTATAGAATCATGAGGCTGAAAGTAATTGCTGAGCAATCTTCTTGCCTTCAGATACACCAAGAAACAAATTATACATTCTTTTAAATCTTCAAGTAATAATGTCACCTTTTCACCTAACCCTAGCTAGTGGCTAGTGAGACTGAGGAAGTTAATTTTTAATTTAAATGTAAATTTAAACTTAAATAGCCATATGTGGCTACCATATTTGACACTATAGATCTAGATCAATATTGCTTTTAGAGAGAGTCTCAGAAAAGTTAAAAGACCATCAACCTCTAATCTCTAATCTATGTTCCCGTGTCTGTGTCAATTCTACTCACGTACTAGTCTTGTGTTTTCAGTGCTCACTTGTTATCAGGATCTAAATTAAAAATATCTTGGGTACCACCATGTGGTCCAGTTGTCCTATCCTTTATAAAAAGTGCTTGTACAGGCCATTTACTCTTTGCTTCTTCCATAATTACAGCTCCAGCTATTTATGGTTAAAAGCAACCACAGCATGTTTGCAATAAATAGGAAATTTGAGATTGCATTTAGTGTGTACTTATTGGATACTCTTAATCTAATCATTCCCAAGTACAGTAAATTCTGGATAATATGATTAAATACTTCTACCATGATTCTTTCAACCTTCATATTGTACCAGCCACTGTTCTTGAATTAAGCAAGATACTGAGAATTAAAAATGAAAAATTATGGCCTAAAAAACTTATGTCTACACAAAATCTGCACACAGATATATATAGCAGCTTTATTCATAATTGCCAAAATTTGTAAACAACCAAGATGTCCTTCAGCAGGTGAACAGATAAATAAAGTGTGGTACATCCAGATAATGGAACATTATTCAGCACTAAAAAGAAATAAACTATTAAGCCACAAAAAGACATGAAGAACCTTAAATGCATATTACTAAATGAAAGAAGCCAATCTGAAAAGGCTACATACTGTATGATTACAGATCATTTAGACAGAAAATCAACAAAGAAACATTGGATTTAAACTGTACTTTAGACCAAATGGACCTAACAGACATTTACAGAACATTTTATCTCACAGCTACAGAGCATACATTCTTCTCATCAGCACTGGAATATTCTCCAGGATAGACCATATGTTAGGACATAAAACAACTCTAAACAAATTTTTAAAAAATCAAAATCCTATGAAGTATCTTCTCAGACCACAATGAATAAAACTAGAAATCAATAACAAGAGGGACTTTGGAAACTGTACAAATACATGGAAATTAAACAATATGCTCCTGAATGACCATTGGGTCAATGGAGAAATTAAGAAGGAAATTAAAAAATTTCTTGAAACAATTGAAAATGGAAATACAACATACTAAAACCTATGGGATACAGTAAAAGCAATGATAAGAGGAAAGTGTATAGCAATAAATGCCTACATCAAAAAAGTAGAAAGATTTCAAATAAACAACCCAATAATGCACCTCAAGGAAATAGAAAAGCAAGAATAAACCAAACCCCAAATTAGTAGAAGGAAAGAAATAATAAAAAATCAGAGCAGAACTAAATGAAATAGAGACTAAACAAAACGAAACAAAAAAAAAAATACAAAAGATCAATGAAACAAAAAATTGGTTTTTTGAAAAGATAAACAAAATTGATAAACTGCTAGCTAGATTAACCAAAAAAAAGAGAGAGTAAACCCAAATAAACAAAATTAGAAATGAAAAAGGAGACATTATAACTGATACCACAGAAATACAAAAGATCATCAAAGACTATTATGAATAACTATATGCTAACAAATTGGAAAACAGAGGAAATGGATAAATTCCTGGACATATACAAGCTACCAAGATAGAATTAGGAAGAAATAGAACAGACCAATAATGAGTAACAAGATTGAATCAGTAATAAAAAGTGTCCCAGCAAAGAAAAGCCCAGGCCTGGATGGCTTTACTGCTGAGTTCTACCAAACTTGTAAAGAAGAACTAATACCAATCTTCCACAGACTATTGCAAAGGGAGGAAATTCTTTCACTGATTCTATGAGGCCATAATTACTCTGATACCAAAATAAGACAAGGACACAACAAAAATGAGAACTACAGGGCAATATCCCTGGTGAACATAGATGCGAAAATACTAGCAAACAAAATCCAACACATCAAAAAGATAATACACCATGATCAAGTGGGATTTATCCCAAGGATGCAAGGATGTTTCAACATACGCAAATCAATAAATGTGATACAGCGTATCAACAGAATGAAAGATAAAAACCATATGATCATCTCAATAGACAGAAAAAGCATTTGATAAAATTCAATAACTCTTCATGATAAAAACTCTCAACAAACCAGGCATGGAAGGAACATACCTAAACATAATAAAGGCCATATATGACATACCCATAGCTAACATGTTGAATGGGAAAAAGCTAAAGCCTTTCCTTTAAGAACTAGAACAAGACAAGGATGCCCATTTTTTACCACTACTATTCAACATAGTCTTGGAAGTCCTAACAGAGCAATCAGGTAAGAGAAAGAAATAAAAGGCATCCAAATTGGAAAAGAGGAAGTTAAATTGTCCCTCTTTACAAACAACATGAGCTTATTTATAGAAAAACCTAAAATTTCCACCAAAAAACTATTAAAACTGATAAATTCAGTAAAGTTACAGGATACAAGATCAACATACAAAAATTATTAGTATTTTTATACACCAATAATGAACTAGCTAAAAAAGAAATCAAGAAAGCAATCCATTTACATAGCTATCAAACAAAAATATCTATGAATAAATTTAAGCAAGGATACAAAAGACCTCTACAAGGAAAACTACAAAACACTGATGAAAGAAATTAAGAGGACACAAATGGAAAGACATCCCATGATCATGGATTAGAAGAATTAATATTGTTAAAATGACCATCCTACCCAAAGCAGTCTATATATTCAATGCAATTGCTATCAAAATATTAATACCAATGACATTCTTCATAGAAATAGAAAAAACAATCCTAAAATTTGTATGGAACCACAGAAAAGCCTGAATAGCCAAAGCAATACTGAGCAAAAGAACAAAGATGGATGCTTCACACTACCTGACTTCCATATATACTACAAAGCTACAGTAACCAAAACAATGTGGTATTGGTATAAAAACAGACACATAGACCAATGGAACAGAGTAGAGAACCAAGAAATAAATCCATGTATTTACAGCCAACTGATTTTTGGCAAAGGTGCCAAGAACATACATGGGGAAAAGGACATCCTCTTCAATAAATGGTACTGGGAAAACTAGATATCCATATGCAGAAGATCTAAACTAGACCCCTGTCTCTCCCCATATACAAAAATCAACTCAAAATGGATTTTAAAGACTTAAATGTAAGACACGAAACTATAAAACTACTGGAAGAAAACATAGGGGAAATACTCCAGGACATTGGTCTAGGCAAGGATTTTATGACTAAGACCTCAAAAGCACAGGCAACAAAAACAAAAATAGACTAATGGGACTATATTAAACTAAAAAGCTTCTGCACAGCAAAGGAAATAATCAACAGAGTGAACACACAGCCTGTTGAATGGGAGGAAATATTTGCAAACGATTAGCTGACAAGGGACTAATACCCAGAATATGCAAGGAACTCAAAAGAAAAAAAAAATCTCATTAAAGAAAGGGCAAAGCATTTGAATCAACATTTCTCAAAAGAAGACATTCAAATGGCCAATAGGTATATGAACAAATACTTAAATTACTAATCATTAAGGAAACACAAATAAAAACCTCAATGAGATATTGTCTTCCTCAGTCAGAATGGCTATTATAAGAAAGACAAAAAATAACAAGTCCTGGCAAGGATGCAGAGAAAAGGGAACTCTGATACACTGTTGGTGGGAATGTAAATTAGTACAGCCATTAGGAGAAAGAGTATGGAATTTTCTCAAAAAACTAAAAACAGAACTATTATACAATCCAACAATCCTTCTACTGGGTATTTATCCAAAGGAAAAGAAATCAGTATACAAAGGGATACCTGTACTCCCATGTTTATTGTGTAACTATTTGCAATAGCCAAGATATAGAATCAACCTAAGTATTCATCAGTGGATGAATGGAGAAAGAAAATATGGTATATACAAGGAGTGCAATGCGCACCACCTGAAGGATGGACATGTTTGAAGCACGGACTTGGGGGGGGGGACCAAGGGCAACA